AGGCACATGTAACGTTACAGTATAAATTCAACAAAAGCATAAATTCAACAAAATGAAGCAATCTTCTTTAAAGTAAAATAAAACATAACTAGAGATATCCCTCCAACCTGTTCCAGAATATTGAGGAGATCAATTCATTTGATCCAGAAATACACCTTGTCAAAGTTGCCTTTATTTTTGTCAGCCACATTGTTTACAATGTGTGAACTTCAGGTGCTGGCATAGCTTCAAAAACATCAACTGATCTTCTTGAAACTGAACTGAAACTTGACTACTTATGTCACTCCCACATATTCTGGAATATCAAAGTGATCATGACTTTTGATCCAGAAATATGGACTGTCAAAGTTGCTTAATATTTTGTCAGCCATATTGTTTACAGTGTGTGAACATCATGTGCTGGCATAAATTCAAAAATATAGAATGATCTTCTTCAAAGTCAAACAGAACATAACTGCATATCTCCTATCCCACTACTGCAGGATATAGAAGAGATCCATCATTTGATCCAGAAATATAGACTCTCAAACTTCCCAACATTTTGTCAGCCATATTGTTTACATTGTGGGAATTTCAGGTACTTGCATACATTTCAAAACCACAACAGATTTCTTTAAAAGTCAAATGAAACAAAACTACATATGTAAGTCCAACATATTGCAGGATATTGAAAATGTACATGTTTTTGATAAAGAATTATAGACTTTCAAACATGTTCAATGATTTGTCATCCATATTGTGGACACTCAAAACTGCTTTGGGTGTCAACTATAATCCTAGGGAGATATTCTCAAACAAATAAAGGATCTTTTCCCAAATAAAGTAGAAAAGTAGTACATATATATACATATTTCTAACATATGTTGTAATTTCAAAGAGATACATTCCTATCAACCAGAAGCATGAGCATAAGAGAATGATACACCTAGTGTAAGCATTGGCCAGGTCCCCCTCCCCCACCTGCAGTAAATGTTTACTAAATGATATTCATCAATGTTTGGATTTTATTATAAACACTCATGACCACCTATGAGCTGCACTGCCAATACTAGTAATATTATTGTGGAATAGGAACCCATGATGGGGTATCAACTTAGAAAAAGCCATACAAAGTCATGGTGTATGAATAGAAATGTAATGCATGTACCAGAGGATTATCTATGCAATGTTATGTGATGCAGTATGAAATTTGACAGCATTTTAGTTACTGATTGTCTGCAGAAAGAAAAGCAAATGATTATGGTGCTTTCATCTCATTATTATTCTCTTTATTTTCTAGTTAAAGTACCGGACCAAGGGTGGTACTGGTTTGTTCTACACCAGGAATGTGGAGTTCAACCCTGCCTAAGACACCAGATCACTATCTATTGCTATCTTCCCTTTCATCATTTAATGTTAAGACCAGAATATTCGTACCTTGGTTTAAAATCTGACAGTGTATTATATATATATATATATATCTACGCAAGTCAAGCCATTTCATTGTTGGCATTATAATGTTCTGTGTTATGATATCTAAAGACAAGTATATGTGTATGTGGTAGGATCAATTCTAATAAGACATACCTTAATATATTGGAAGGTTATAGATACATGCATTTTGACTGGAATCATTATGATCATGATAGAAATAACTTGTTACATCACTGTGTACAATTTTTTAAATATTATTGTCGTAAACCCAAGGTATTGCCTGTGTTGTACCATGTTTTTTGCATTCCTTTTGATACACATTAAAGACAAAACCTGCCATGCAATTGTCTATGTTGCCTTATTTTTTATAGATAATCATAGTATGATTTCACAACAGTGGAAGCATTGGGATGACAAGCTAGAAGACAAGTATCATGTTAGACAAGTGTCCAATAATTTTCTGAAAATCATCCCAGTACCAAGAAATTTAATTGGAATGGCCTGAGTATAAATTAAGCATAAATATTTACATATTTTAACAGCCGGACATTGTAAGCATAAAAACTAAACAAATTTGAGACTGAAGTAAACAAAAACGACAGCGAACAGTGTCACTGCGATGTGACCCTTGACCTATAATAGGGGACCGTCCATTCTTCAACAAGGCAGGGGTGACACGTATTCTTCCGTGCAGCGAGCTTTCGTTGCGCGCAGCGAGGTCGCCGAGGAATCTCTTTCTGTGCAGGCGTGAGGAAGCTCTTGGCAGGCACGACGCAGGTATTCGTGCGCAGACGAGGAAGCTCTTTCTGTGCAGGCGTGAGGAAGCTCTTGGCAGGCACGACGCAGGTAGTCGTGCGCAGACGAGGAAGCTCTTTGCAGAGATGACGCAGGTGTGCGCGCAGGCGACGCAGGTGTGCGCGCAGGCGACGCAGGTTTGTCCTTGTCGGCCACGGTACTCGGAGGAAGGTTCTTCCTCACATGCCTACGGAAAACCTGAAGATGTTCACGGTTACAAAGAGACTGAGAACGTGAGCACACGGCACTCAGAGGAAGGGTCTTCCTCACATCACTACGGAAAACCTGAAGATATTCACGGATATGAAGAACCTGTGAATGTCAGCACTGGGCACCAGGAAGGGCCTCCATCGCATGACGCCGAGAAACCAGAAGGCGAGTACGGATACAAAGACCCTGAAGATGTAGGCTTTGCCTACAGGGCTAAAGGTGAGTCTAGACATATATGTATACATTGAATACAACATCTAACCCCTATCTGTACATTTTTGGTTCATGCAGATCCAAGCACTACTTTTTGTAATATAATATTATGTATTTTCAAGATAATTTGTTTTCTTCAACCCCATTATATTATTATAACAGATTATGGTACAAGAAAATATAGGGTTCATTTTTAGGCCTAATGACGTGAACTTTCAGTGTAGAAAAAGAAAATTCGATATGTATCTTCCAAATACTAGCATTTTAAGATTTTTTGAGCTATTCGTTGCAGGTGTATTGTGGGCCCTGGTGTTCAACTTGCGTGACTCGCAAGTTGGAAAGGGAGGCTTTGGTCATGGGTCTTTTCCTTCTTTTGGGGGTTTCTCTCCAAACGGATCTATGTTGATGCCTAAAGTTGAAATACATTTTCACATCTTTATATTTCACACCAGCCCGTATCATACAAATGTGGAAAAATATGAAGTCGAGCAAAGTTTTCTGGTTTGCCCTGGGTTGCGGGCTCCTGGTGATATCGGCAGTTGTGGTACTGGCAATATTCCTGGCACCTCGTCTCGGACCTGGTATAAAGGTATGTTGATTGTTGTCATCTGAAGCCATTCATAACAAATGCTTATATGATTTATATAGTAGAGGGGATTCATTCCTCAAGCTACCGACATCTTGCACACTGCTTCCTTTAGATGTACGGGATCACTCTGGGTCCGGAAGTCCAGAAGATACTCAGCGAGGATCCATCCATTGAGAAGTATGCAGTATATAGTAGAGGGGATTCATTCCTCAAGCTACCGACATCTTGCACACGCTG